TCATTAACATTATAAGTAGAATAATCCCTTTTTGTTGGAATTTGTTACAAAAACTATGTTCTTAATATTAAGTGCATTAAGTATATACATATGTATGTTGTGTATGTGCATGCATGCTTGTGTGTTTATTTAAGTTCTACTTCTCTCTTATTGTTTATATAAATAAACGAGTTTTGATTGTCATTAATAGAATATTTGCTAATTTGTTTTTAAAATTCATTCACACTATAAATAGATAATCTTTTTTAAATTTATTATATCTCTTTATTTATATTAATTATTTTTTCTATTACTTCCATTAAAATAAATTTATTAAGTTCTCATTCTTTTTTACAAGTAAATAGATATTAGAGTTTTGATTTCAATTAATAAAATTAAATTTTTGTATTCTGCTCATTTATTTTATTATAGAACGTCATTAACTTATGTACCCAATTACTATTTCTTACATTTCTTTTTCTTCTTGCAAATAATATATATTTTTTCATAGGTAAGTCTGTCATATAAATTTAAAATATATATATCATGATTTAAGAAGTAACAAAAAAAGAAGAAGACAAAGGTTACTAATGTAAGGGTAAAATAGGCATTTAAAAAAGAAAATTGACATATGAAAGGGAAAATATCTATTGTTCAAAATTAAGAGGAGAGTTTGATTTTTAAAGTAAAGTTGTAAATAATTTTTACCTATTTAAATATTAAAAAATAGAAGAAAATGAAATAAAATCAATAGTTCTTCTTCCTGCCAACCCACGTTCACCTTACCCCTCCCCCAACTGGTTGAGAGGTTTTATTTAATACTTAAATTTATAACAAAACAATATTTGACCAAAATACTGTCACTTAGATTGTATGCACATGTACCACTTGACAACTATCATTACTAAAGGTTTGACCCAACTTGAATCATATGGTCATGAAAAGTTTGGTAAACAAATAACGACCCAAACAGGTCTAAGGTTTCGTTGCCTTGACATCAACACGTTTAATGTAGGTATTTGGACATGATTTTATTGAATTTTTTTTTAAAAGAAAGTAATATTTAAAGTTAAAAGTTGAAAAAGAGTATCTGAAAATTAAATTAATAAGAAGATAATGTCACACACATATAATTGTGTCTGGACGTGAAAACAAAGTTAAAGTTTTATGAGTTTTTTCAAACTTTAAAATTAGTGCACCGGACTGCCCCTTTTTTTCTTTAATTATTTGAAAACAAAATCTATGGCCAAGAGGTAGTATGTAGAATACTCCATCTATTTCGCTTGTGTGCGTAAATATTTTCTTATTAGTTCAAGATTTAATAGTCAAAAAATATTATGAAATATTTAGACATAGAACATAGAAGTAGTAAGAGTTTTCATCGAAAGGAAAATAATTCGCTTAGAAAAGATCCGATACCAATAAAGAGCACACTAGCTAATCGGTGTAAATGATAAAGTCTTAAATGAGTCTTTCTAAAAATCCACATCCTAAAATAGCAACATCGTTCTTACCCCACAAATTTTAAAAATATTTAAGTTCTTTTTTAAACCCTTACCGAGCAAAATTCGACATGTTCAACTTTGGAAAAAATATATCCGCGCCCGATGTATACACCAAGCCAATAATTAAATGACACTTGTCACCTTATTTATTATACAGTAAAGGGCCAAATATACCCTTATACTTTCGAAAATGGTCTAAGAATACCCCTCGTTACCCCTCGTTATACTATTGGGTTATCTATACCCCTGCAGTCATACTTTGAGTTCAAATATACCCCTCATTTAAACGGAGGGACACGTGTCATCATCCTTTTGGTCAATTCTAAATATCTTCTAATTAATTAAAAATACCCATTAATCATACCCGAAAAGTAATTTTTTAAAGCAATATTTTTTTGTAAAAACTGAAAAAAACTGAAATTATTTTTACTAAAAACAAAAAAAAAATGATAATATTTTTTTTTTCCAGTTTTTACAAAAAAATTGCTTTAGAAAAAACTGAAAAATATTTTCTAAAACAATGTTTTTGAAAAAATTGAAAAAAAACTGAAAATCAATTTTCTAAAGCAATATTTTTTGTAAAAACTGAAATCTTTTTTACTAAAACCTGAAAAAAATGAAAATATTTTTTTCCAGTTTTTACAAAAAAGATGCTTTATAAAAAGCAGAAAAATATTTTCTAAAACAATATTTTTGTAAAAACTGAAAAAAAACTAAAAAGCAAATTTCTAAAGCAGTGTTTTTGTAAAAACTAAAAAAATAAATATTTTTTTTCCAGTTTTTAGTTAAAAATATTTCAGTTTTTTCAGTTTTTAATTGCTTTAGAAAATTATTTTTCAGTTTTTACAAAAATATTGTTTTAGAAAATATTTTTCAGTTTTTTAAAGCAGTTTTTTGTAAAAACTGGAAAAAAAAATATTTTTGTTTTTTTCAGTTTTTAGTAAAAATATTTTTTTAGTTTTTTTCAGTTTTTACAATAAAAAAAATTATTTTTCGGGTATGGATAATGAGTCTTTTTAATTAATTATGAGATATTTAGAATTGACCAACAGGACAATGACACATGTTCCTCCGCTTAAACGAGGGGTATATTTGAACCCAAAATATGACTGCAGGGTATAGATAACCCAATAGTATAACGAGGGGTATTCTTGGACCATTTTCGAAAGTAGAGGGGTATATTTGGCCCTTTGCCGTTTATTATATAACTAGTAGTATTTAACCATAGTTAATTCCATGTATTTTCTATATAATCTTAGATAATAATATTATAATAATCTTAAATATTTTCTAGCTATTTCAATTGTTCCACAACAAACATATTGAAAGGAAGATACTATCATGAACGAGCAAGTGACGGTTAACACATTAAGCACCCAAATCCTCCTCCTTTCTTCTTAAACTAATTTTTGTTGCAAGTATACCTTCATTGTATTACTTAAATAATTATTTTAATATATTCTGATAAGTACAATACGAGAATATAAGTACAATACTATCTTTATTGCTTATAGTTCTTAGTTTGAGCCCTAATAGAATTGCTTTTTTCGATCTTTAAGGGAGAAATACAAAAACACCAAAACTCTCGAGATGCACCAAGAAACTGAGGCGGGAAATAAAATAAAGTTGGTGCCCCTAATATGCTTATCGTGATTGTCAGAAATCTGGCCAACTCACAAATTCTGATCGATTACTAATTTTCTTTAAAATTTTTGATGTTTTAAAATTCTGACGAGCGTGTTTCAAAATTCTAGCGTGGGATTGTTTTCCTAGAATTTTTTTAACAGGTCAAACAATAAACAGCGATTTAAAAAAGTTGAGCTAATTTCTTGATTATAATGTATGTAAATATTGTAATACCTCCGTGGTCAGAAAAATTTTTCAATTAATTTTTTATGGTAGAAAGATCTATATTCCTTATTAAAAATAGTGAGAAAATCCTAACGACCACGTGAGTCATGCGTGGCACCAAATCAGTACCTAGTCGACTATCGTATTCGTACCCAGAATCATTCCTTGGTTTCTCCTTCCTTTTCAGAGCAAAACGAAAACATGGAAATAAATAAGGAGGTTGAATATTATTAATTAAGCAGTAGATTTTTTAGCTTTCTTTACACATAAAGCCAATATTCACATCATTATCATTATCATGATACCTCCATCATTATAGCGGCCAATATATATATATGTTGTATACACAAGTATAAGGTATAGGGTGGGCTGCTGTGGCTGCAGCTGCTTTTGTGAAAGGGGAAAAGTCAGACAAATAATACACTACTTTTTATAGAGTTTGGTATATGGGCTATTGATTTTCCTTTTCCTCTCTTCTTTGGCTTTCATAGGTTATGCCGTTTCAGCCCCAGGTAAAAAATAATAATAATTAATTTTTCGTGTTTTTCTTTTATTTTATGTGATTTTGGTATCTGGGTACAGATTTTCTTGTTTTGTTTCGGTGGAGAATTGAGTTCCTGATCAGATCTGATAAGAAATTGTTTTCTTATTGAGGCTGTAAAGTGTAAAGTTTGATTCTTTTTGCTTTGGGGTTGTGATATTGTTCTTTTGGGTATGTGTTGGAATCCAAATTTTGGGATTTATTCTTGTTTTGCTGTATGTCTTCTGTGTTGGAATCTTTATGTTTATTGGAATTATTGCTAAAACTATTCTTAATAAGGTTTTGGTTATTCTTGGTAAATTCTATGGAAGGTGAGATATAATTGTTTTTTGTGTGGCTGTTCTGTGATGAACTTATGGAATAATGGTGGTGATTTAGGCTTTAGGGTGTGAAGTTGAGTTCTGGTGTTTTTAGGATAAATGTATCTTATTGAAGTTAATGGTTCTGTTGAGGCTTGGAAAAAGCTAGTACTCTGTTCTGAAGAACCTTGATTGTATTTCCACTGCTGTATTGTTTTTCTGAGGTTCTAACTAAGGGTACAATGAAGTTCTTTGAATTTCGCTATTGTTTAAATGAGTAATATTTTAATTGTAACTAAGATTGTATCTTTTTACTCATATGATCTTGTACCACAATGTAATGAAAGGATTATATGTGCTTTTAGTGATTGTTCATTGATCATAATGTGCTTTGAGCCACAAATTTGACATAAGTTTGCTGTATAATTCTCAATCCAACTATTTAGTGTTTGTTCTTACTCTTTGATTGCTAGATGACATTTGTGATAGTCACAAATACTATTTTGAAGGCTGGTATGTAAATAGATTTATAGGAATGTTTTACCTGCAACTGCCTAATTATAACTTAATCTTGAACGACAATGATTGAGCTGATCTTAATGCCACTAATCCTGTTTAGTGCTTATCTAGGCGAGGATGTTGACTGGGATCCTTGATTAGAATGCTTGCAAGTTAATGTAATTTCATTGCTTAATAACTTGTTAAATTGTAGCTCTGCCATTGTCTATCTCAAGCTTAGTTGGCTTCTCTGGGTATTTTCCTTTTGTTTAGTATTGTGCTGTGACATACTAACTCGTCTTCCCTGGTTGTTTTTTCAGGATCCAGTAAACTTCAATTCTAAGAGAATAGTATTGTTTAGGACATGGAGCAAGTGTGCCTTTTCTCTGAATGCTTTGGGTATCGAGCTTTTTCATTTCAGGAAGTTCTTGATTGGCGGTTCCTCATCCGTAGAGATTCCCTTCTTGTTTCCTTTGTCAATTGCACATAGTGAACAGCTCCTCTTGACTGTTCAGTATAGGAGGCAATTTGCAATTTCCATATAAGCTAGTGTGTTGGATGTTTAATGCAATTCCTCTAGTAAGCAGCACACCTTATGATGTCAGTTGTGAATGTACTGTTAACTACCTCGTGCAAGTTTATTTTTTCTAGCGCATTGCCGATACGACACCCATTCAAGACCCTTTGGAATTCATCCTCTGAGGTATTGCTGTGGGTTGAATGTTACTTTGTTATAGTGCTCATAGTTTCTAATAGCCTTACATCATTTTTGCTGTCTCTGTCCATTACAGGGCTAAATCAGCAGATGCATGTATACATAGTTGGAGTTAGTTAGCTTTTTGTACACTTGCTTCTGGTTTGGTAGTTTCTAGAGACCCCGTCTTTACGGTTCAGTTGACTGAAGACTTGGTATGAGACTAAAGTGTATTGGAGGCAAGGAGCTAATGTGATGTCGAGAAAGAAATTTCAATCATCTCTTGACCTTATGATCGACCTGTTGAATTTAGCTGTTTGAGTCTCTGTTAGCTCTGAAGTGGTATCAAGATGCATTGCAGCACTTGTCTTTGCTTGCTTTCTCTCCCCTGTTACAGTTTTGGATCTTTTAATGCCGTATATCTTACAAATAAGGCTGTAAAGCCCATTGCTCCTATCATTGCTGGTTCTGCCCTCATCAGTTTTTCAGAAGGAAACTAAGGGGGATTTTGCTGAATCAGTCAGGCCACTAGTTCCTTTTAGTATTTTCTGTTCCAGTCATTCCGAGACTGAACAAATTTCACTTAGTTTATGTGCTTGTTGTCTCTCCGCCTTCAATAAATAAGTGTCCTAAGTGCTATTGAAGCTGCAAAAATGGAAAGGTGCTGGTCTCGTTCCCCTTATTGTTATTGATTTCTTTTTTCTGTATGCTCGTCTAATTCGTCTTAATGTTGCAGGTACAAGATAATTAACGAAGTTGGTAATGGCACATTTGGAAATGTTTGGCGTGCACTTAATAAACAGACTGGTGAAGTGGTAGGTGTAGATGTGCAAGGATCAACAAAGAACCTATTGATGTTGCTGTACTTTTGAAGTCCTTTTAATTCTATTCATTTGTCTAACACAGGTTGCAATAAAAAAGATGAAGAAGAATTATTATTCATGGGAAGAATGCATAAACTTGAGAGAGGTCAAGGTTAGATGATTTCCTTCCTTTTGGTCATACTTGGTCTTTCCTCTGCTGAGGATTCAATAACCATAAATCCTTTTGCAGTCTTTGAGAAAAATGAACCATCCAAATATTGTGAAGCTCAAGGAAGTGGTTAGGGAGAATGACTTTTTGTACTTTGTGTTTGAATACATGGTATGTGATGGTTTCCCTTTGTAATTTATATTTGTGACCAGTCAGTTAATTGAGTATCTGATTCTGGATGAGTTTTTGTAGGATTGCAATTTATATCAGCTTATGAAGGACAGAGCAAAGCTTTTCTCAGAATCCGAAGTAAGAAATTGGTGCTTCCAAGTATTTCAGGGTCTTGCTTATATTCATCGACGAGGATATTTTCATCGTGACCTTAAGCCAGGTGTTTAACTTTCCCACTTTTTTGTCTGTAAATGCTCTGAATGATGGTGAAGAGTTGACTTAACTGAAACTATCTTAGTGAATGACATGAGCTGTACTCTCTCTTGTTTTCCTTTAAGCGTCCTTGATCATGAAGATCTGGTATATGTATGGTGATGCAATGACCCTGCTCCCTTCCTTTTTTTTTTTTCTCGTTATATCTTTAGTGATGCATTCACCCTGTCTCTTGGAAAACTAAAAATACATATTAGTGTTTGTTATGAGATATTAGTATTAAGGCACGAAGGAAAACAGGAGGAGCTAATACAATATTTTTGCGATATATGTGCATGCAATCATGAAAATCTGCATATTATAGCAGTTGAATGTCTTTTTATGTTTATGGAGTTTATGACATCATAGTCCAATTGGACCAATTCCATTGTGATCTGACTCATTTTTACATATGATACTGATGGTTGTCCAGAGAACTTGTTGGTTTCACAAGATATAATTAAAATTGCTGATTTTGGTCTTGCTCGGGAAATCAACTCTCAGCCTCCATTTACAGAATATGTATCAACACGTTGGTCAGTATGCCTGGTCTACTGTACGTTCATTGGTCTAAAACGTTAGTTTTTTTCTTCTGATCTCTGTTATGTGGGACTGCAGGTATCGTGCTCCTGAAATTCTTCTCCAGTCACCAATCTATGGTCCTGCTGTCGGTAAGTAACACATATAATATCTGTTTCAGCTATTTTTTTCTGGATGTGTATTGATTGTCTTTCAACGCTGCAGATATGTGGGCAATGGGTGCTATAATGGCTGAGTTGTTTAGTCTTCGTCCTCTATTTCCGGGTTCAAGGTATGCATCTGTGGTTATAATATTGATTTCTCTGTGACTTGCATAAATATGTATATAGAAGAGGAGAGGAGGGATTGGTGGATTGGAGACTGTCATTTGCAAATCATTACCTTTCTGTGACAGTCTGCTGTACGCTCTTTGTCTTCTTTGGGTGCAGTGAAGCAGATGAGATATACAAAATATGCAGTGTTATAGGGACCCCATCCAAGAGGGAATGGGCTCAGGGACTTCAACTTGCTAGTGCTATCAACTACCAATTTCCACAGGTCCACATTGCTCTCCCTTGCTATGAAGATATCTGATGTTTCTGGATTCTTTTAATGAATTATTGATTGATTCTTAGAGGATTTTCATATTAGCTGAGCTTCCCCTCCCTCGTCCTTTTGCCTTTGAATTCCAGTGCTTATCTTTCAAATTATTGAAAAGAGGGTCTTTTTAATCTTTTCCATTGAAAGAAACTATTCCTTGGCTCAACATAAAAAATGCTGTTGTTAGATTAACTAACGAATCCGTCTCATTTGACATCTGATTTTGGGTTGACACCTGCTTCCTTGTTTTATCTGGCAGATTGCTGGTGTAGATCTTGCCTTGCTAATTCCATCTGCCAGTGAGGATGCTATTAGCCTAATCACGGTAAGAACTGGTTAAAAGCATTTATATCATTCTTCTGAATTGGTCGCTACATGGTCATATATGGACTAGAGCTCCTTTGTTTCTGAAGAAACAGAATGGTGTATCTGATAGCTTGGATTTTATCTAATTTGTTTTCTACTGCAGTCTCTTTGTTCATGGGATCCTTGTAAGAGGCCAACAGCCGTTGATGCTCTTCAACATCCTTTCTTCCAGGTGGCAAATTCCTATCCTTTTTAAACCTAATGTACATAAGTTGGTGTTTTGTGTCTCTATTAAACTATATAATATCATTTATGATGCGACAGAGTTGTTTTTATGTACCTCCATCACTACGCACCAAGACTGCTGTTGCTAAGACTCCTCCGGGTTTGTGCTGTCTTTAGTATTTACTTGAAAGAAACTTGGGTATTATGCTTTATGATGAACCTAATAGGACTTTTGGTTGCTGTAGCTGTCATGAGGGGTGCATTGGAGCAAAAGTGCGACAAGTGGTCGTTTGGGTCGTTGCCCAACCCCAAGCCCAGTAGCAACTTCTCCACCGTTACGTCAAAGGTGCCTATTAACACAGGTAACATATAAGAATTTGAAGGATTTTACAGGGGTCCAACTAATCAGAGGGGCTAGTTCTTTGCACAAACCTTTTAATATTTTTCTTTCCTAAATTTAATTGTGAAAGAACCATCTTTTCTGCTATACACAAATTTTTCTTCATTCTGATACTTGTACAATTGTAATTTCACACAGTGACTCGTGTAACAGGCGTACAAAGGAGGTTGGATATGAATTATCAGGTATAGTTGCCTTGTAAAGTTACTGTTTGCATCTGCAAGATGAATGCTGTGCATGGACATAGGTATTCTACTTGAATCTAATCTATGCAACGAATGTTCAGGAACCAATGGGGAGTGATAAATCCCTGAAAGGCTCTGTTAATCAACAACCAAAATACCGACCTCCTGTAAGGAATGTCCCAAGTAAGTTCTATTCAACTTAATATTTTTTCACACGTCTCTTGACCAGAAATCCAAACCTCTTCTAATTGTGGAACAAAATACTTTGGTTTTACTTGTACAATTGTGTCCCTCCATAAAGCTTTTTATTTTTTATTTTTGGCTTGGCAGTGGTTGGTTCTGGAGTGACAACTCGTGCCATTTCGGATGCAGCTGAGAAGCTGGCGAATGTGAGCATTGGCTCTGGTAGAGGACGACCTACAAAGCAGCCAGTATTTAAGCCTATGAAGGCAGGAGGGTGGCATGGGCAGCACGACTTGTTCCATGGACGGTCTCAAGAGCTTCTTCCTGGAAGAAGCTATTCAAGGAAAGTTGCTGGATGAAGAATGTTATAAGCTTGAGTGTCGTATTTTGTTCAAGTGTTATTTAGCGATAGTAGTCTTTATGTGCATGGCTCAGTTTGATGTTACTTTGGTGAGCCAGCAGTCTTGTGCTTTGCAAGTTTGTTTCATTTTGGTGATACTGTCGCATCTACGTTCAAGATGTTGAATAAATGTGTTTGCTTGTTTTGGTGATACTATCATTTCTACATTCTAGTATTGAATAAATGTTTATGCTAACTAATGGTATGCGATACTGATAGTGTAGAAGATTTTTACTGTCGATGTACTTTATGTAACTTAAAATCTTTTAGCTTTTGTGCATAATTTAAAGTTTGATCAAACAATATTACTAGTCACAAAATACGCGGTCCTCGACTTTTTCATTAAGCCAAGCTAAAGATGTACCTAAAAATGTAAAAGAATGAATAAAATGACAATAAACGAAAACGTTGCTAACTAATAAAAAAATGAGACAACTATGATTCATTATCCAGTTGATCATGCCTACTTGGAACGCGGAAGCAAAATCTTGAATTGTTTCGATCCCAACGAAGCGCAATCACATCATCTTGTTTTAAATTCCTTCTCTTCACAAAGTTGGGGGTCCAGTTTCTGATGAGTTGAAAACTATGGGTTGCCCATTTCTTGAGCGTCAAAGAATACTCTGATTGTGTATCCAAATCCCAGACATAAACATCAGTTCCACTTAACTTTTGGCAATCTGTAGCTTTTTGTTCATCCAAGAAAGGTATAACGTAAGTTTTCACTTCTTGTCTCGGCAACAAAAGCCTTGACGATCCATTCACGTCACTCTTTGTCAACTTCTTAATTATCCAGTGCTCTTCCTCCTCCGCCGCAATTAAACGCCGTTTCTGATCTTGTCCTTTTCTTTTTGAAACAGGAGTAGCGATATTAGATTCATGGAACGACCTTTTGGGGGCACAAGAATCTTGACTAATGATATTTGGGGAATTAGAATTGGAGGTTTCGGGTATTGTACCTAGTAGAGAAAGACAGAGATCAGTAGAAGGCGGAAGAGGATTATTTACAAAGTAGTAGTGTTTTGAAGCAGTAGCTAGGTTTTCTGAAAAATCTGGAAAGAGAGACAATGTTGTGGGTTTAGAAGCAAAGAGAGACAAAGTGGGGAGTTTGGTGTCGGAATATTTAGATGATGAGGACTCATGAGGACAAGCATATGCAATTGGTTCTGCATTTATAACGATACTCTTATCTGAAAATAGAAGAGACAACGTTGGAATATCGTCCTGAATGGCGTTCATGGTCATGCACGACAAAGTAGTAGAATTCTTTGTTTTCATCAGAATGGAGGCTCTCTCATTACCTTTTTATAGATTTCTAAACTTCTCCCATACAAACTCAAATTGGGATTTAGCTTTTCCCTTTCATAGCCAATATCGTACTAACCCCTTTACTCCCTATCAGATTAGGAAATGGAATTAAGTACCTTTCTTCATAACCTCTATTATAATAATTTGAAATGTTGAGTCTTAGAATATTGTGATCAAATTGTATAATACGTATGTTTGTATTTATGGTGATATATATGAGAATAATGAAATATATATTTATATATATGAAATGCATGTACAACTGTTATTTGCAATAAGATGATATTATTATTGAGAAATAAAATTGTAATAATGTCGGATGTTTCTAAATGCAATTTGATTTATAATTTGGGTATGCCTAATTATGAAAGTTACTTGCGGATAAAATTTTGATTTGTAAAATCAGGAACGTTTAGGTTACTAAAATTAGTGTTGTAAAACATAAAGATGGTAACTTAATTAACTTAGTAATTTGAGAATTGAACCTCCAACATGATTCTAGTAATTTTCAACCTGATTTTAGTATTGTCAACCGCATTCGCGATCTCTTGGCTAGGAACTGGATGGTCTCTATTTGATTCTAGTAATTTTCAATATATAGGAGTTTAATTCGGTAGCTGATAGTTTAACCAAGAGCCGCTTTTTGAATGACATGTACTTGTAACTTCTAGCATTTCTTTGCATGTTTCGGAAGATGTTATTGGGGTTTCATTCCTTCGCTTGATTTCTGGGTAGTTTCCTTTTCTTGCTTTGTTTCTCTTTTGATAGAAAAAATATGCTTGCAAAATAATTGGACTAATATGCCTTCTAAAGTAATTTGATAATTGAACTCCTAAAATAATAATTATATTAATCAAAATTAATTGAACTCCAAAAATTAAACTTATCACTAAATATTTAAAATTTTAAGTATTAAGTACAACCATTTTAGTTATCATCACTGTCACTAACAACAATGTATTTGTAATGCCCATTTTTTTTTTTCTTTCAATTTAACCATTTACCCATGTCACCTCCTGTGGTGGTGGGGAGTTTGGTGCTGACCCAGCCTTAAATATTAAGAACAATAAACTAGTACATTCAACAAAGAGAAGAGCATAAACCTTACCTCAAAAACAAAGGAAGGGCAAAAACATCCTTAAAAAAAACATAGGAACAGAACAAAGTACTGACAAAATACAAGATACTTACAGAGTTAATTCTTTGGTAGATCAACCAACTTACGGAAATAGCCTACCATTTTTTTTAGATAACAAAACCATTCAACTATTGATTTTTTACTCAAAAAATAAAAAAATACTCATTTAACATATCATATCATATTGAAAACTCATTTTAACTCATGTTCTTTACAAAGTAGACTAGTCGGTGATATTTGTTTGAAGTTTTGGAGTTTGCAAACGAATTTGTTTCGACTTTTTGCTCTTTCAAAAACTCAAATTACAAACTCTAAACCAACCTAATATTATACATTGAACCATTGAATAATTCAAGAACGTATTCACAAAGCTAGTTGCATAAGACGTTCTAATGTATGCTCTAAGTGTGACTAACCATATTTATGTTCTTTAAAATACATCTATAACTGTAATATTTCTTAAGCAATAAAATTTAATTGGATTTTTCGAAGTCCAATTACATGTATGTATCCAGTTTTATTCGGGTTAAATAATTAATTTGGACTTTATATATTAAAAATAAGTCTATTTTATTTTCAAGATCAAGTTCCATTTTATCTTAAAGCCCTGACAACATAGCATGTCCAGTCAAATTCAAAGCCAACAAGATGATGCCACGTGTTAAAATGATATAGCAATCCAAGTAAAAAAGCAATGACCAACCATAAGTTGCAAAGTGTCTAAAATGACATGTCTTGGCCAATCACATGCAACCTTATCACATAGCTTGTGTGATAAGTTTGATGACTCACATGAGCAAATCAAAATCAAGCAAGATAGTTCATATGTAACTGGACTATCCACCCTCTACAACTATAAATAAAGGGGTTACATAGGTTACATAACTTTCCGAGGGAGATTAAGAGTTAAAGAAGAGCATTTCACTGTTGATGAAGGCATCCGCAAATAGATAGATTAATCATCAACCTCAGAGTTCTCCAACAAAAACAGAGTAATCAACAGAGTTCTTTCAGGAGATCAACCCAAAATGACAAAGTACTGCCTGATGTTCTTGGAGATTAAATACATCATAAGGAGGTCCGCATTATCCTATATTCGATAAAGACACTACTCAAGCCCTGGAATCACGAAAAATCTTAGAGAGAAGCATCAAGGGAATACATAGAACTGTACTCACATATATTAATTAATAAAATCTCTTTTTCTTCATATTTTTGTTGGAAATTATTTTCCCATGCAGTGAAAATTTGGCGCAAATAAATTTTGGCACACCTAGTAGGACCAGTTCTGCCTTTCATCTCTTCCTCTTGCAAGTTTGAAAATTACAAACTTCATATATACTGCTGCAATGGCCTTTACAAAGTGTGATGATGTTACACACAAAGATGCTACCGCTACTGCATCCGTTGAGCTCAGTCACATTTGCCGAATCACTCGAAGCAAGTTCAAGGCTAGTGGCTTGGATGTATCCGAATACTTCGCCTCCTTGGACATGGAAAAGAAGAGCAAATCTCATATGACGATCACAGCCGCAATCTCTGGGAGAAACACCCCAGAGATTTGGTTTCAGAGACTATGTCCGGTGACTGGACCTTGTTTACAGATGGTGCATCCGACATGAAAGTGTTCGGGTTGGGTATAGTACTTAGTACTCCATTTGGAGAAATTTTAAGACAGGCCATGCAAACTGTTCCTTTAACTAATAATGAATCTGAGTCTGAGGCTATGATTGCAGGACTTGAATTAGCCCGGGGACTAGGCTCGGAGGTGGTTAAAGTAAAGTGCGATTCCCAGCTGGTGGTCAATCATATATATGGAATTTTTTATGCCAAAAAAGAGCGCATACAACAATATTTAAACGAAGTCCAAGTTCTACTTTTCCGGTTCAGGGAGTGGATAGTAATTCATATTCCAAGAGAGAAAAATGTGGAGGCTAATGTGTTAGCTAACTTGGGTTCATCAACGGAGTTAGAAGGAACCGATTCTAGTTTGGTTGTGCAGTTTTTGCATTCAGTTCTGAACGTGGACGGGTATTGTGAAGTTAATTCAACAAACTTAGTCCAGGAATACAAAAATGAATTTATTGATTATTTAAGACATGTCAAATTATCTGAGGATTCTAAAGCCTCCCAAACACTCAGAATGAAGACTGCCTAGTATTGTATTGTCGATGGAAAACTGTATCGGAGATCTTTTCAGGGTCCGTTAGCTCGATGCTTAGGTCCCGCGAAAGCTGATTATGTAATGAGGAAAGTTCATGAAAGAGTTTGCGACAATTCTTCCGGAGCATATTCATTGGTGCATAAGCTAGTAAGAGTTGGTTACTATTGGCCCCGAATGGAGCAAGATACTAAATATTTGTTCAGAAGTGTGATAAATGCCATGCTCAGATGATACATCAGCCGACAGAACTTTTGCATTCAGTTCTCACCATGGCCATTTATGAAATGAGGGATGGATATAGTTGGATCTCTGCCTCAGGGACCCAGACAGGTAAAATTTCTTTTGATTTTGACTGGTTATTTCTCTAAGTGGGTTGAAGCAGGTGGTTTCAAGAAGATTGGAGACCACGAGGTGATAGATTTCATCTGGGATCATATTATTTGTCGATTCAGAGTACCAAAAGAAATTGCATGTGACAATGGGTCATAATTTATTCGCTCTAAAGTCATAAAATTCATAGTGGGATTGAATATCAAAAGGATTAAATCAGATCCGTATCATCCAAGTGCTAACGGTCAAGCAGAGTTAACAAACAAAGTAATAATTCAGAATCTAAAGAAGTTAGAGGATGCCAAAGGCAGGTAGGTTGAAGAGTTACCCGGAGTATTGTAGGCGTACCGAACCACAACAAAATCAAGCACCGGAGAAACACCTTTGTCTCTTGTATATGGAGCAGAGGCACTAATTCTAGTGGGGATAGGTAAACCAACTATGAGATTTTCTCAGACAAACGAGCCAGAAAACGCTGAAGCCATGTTGATTAAGGTAGATCTACTTGATGAGCACCGAGATTTGGCTTATGTAAGGATGATGGCTCATAAGCGAAGAATCCAACAATATTATAATCATAGAGCAAATCTCTGTTATTTTAAAGTAGGAGAGTTAAATATATGGAAAGTGACTCATAACACCTAGAAAATCAACACCAGAAAGTTAGGACTATATTGGGAAGGTACTTATCAGATTTCAACTATAACCGAGAAAGGCTCGTATCAACTAGAAAATCAAAATGGAGTTAAATTAACAAACAACTAGAACAGTGAGCCATATCAAAAGGTACTACCGTTGAAGATTGATGATTTAACTGAAAGTAGGCGATGTACTTTTTTTTTTCTTTGTCCAGTTTTTGTCCCAAATACGATTTTTCTAGAAAGAATTTTAATGTGGCAACAAGTAAAGCATATTACGAGGATAAATTATTAACGGTAACATGAAAACAAGTGTTTGAATGCTCATACTTTTCATTCTACACTGGGGGAGGNTAAAAGCAAATGGAATATGTTATCCGGAAACGTAGTAATGCCGGGGACTGCTGAAATTGGGGGAACATGTTTTGAATTTAGAAGTTCAATTGTTATGGATCACCTCAAGCTGGCACCAGAGACTGTACATGCAGCCCCGTAGAAATAAAAAGTACAAATTAGCCACATGAATTGGCAGCTAGGTTATTTGGAAAATGTAATTTTCTTACTTGTTTATATGTAATTTTGTAAATAGAAGGAATAAATAAAAAAATTCTTTTGTTTCTATTCATGTCTTATTTCTTGTCCTAGAAGTTTGGTGTTCCCTTTATTTGAATGTTACGA